TATATATATATATATATTGAGGTTTTTCAACGTTATTCGTGCACTAAATCGTGAATTCATTCTAAAGAACTGCAACATTTCCCCGACACTAATCGTACTAATAAGTGAAACCTTAAGTAATAAGTTTAAGTTAACCAGTTGAGAGATTCATAATGTTAGCGGTTTAAGCATGAACAAGTACTTTATTCGGTGCATTCACCTTTTTCCACACACGTTCATTCTGTCAATAAATTAGTAATAGTTAATTAAGTAATTATAAGATTAATTTTATAAAATTATGTTTTTTAATTAATATAGAATAACTTAAAATGATACTAATTATAGGACCAAAGAAGTATACCGATAGTTAATAGATATATTGGAGGGTCAGATCTCGAATATGAATTTTGTCTAATTAACCAAAATTAAATATGAGCTGTTGATCTCAAAGGTCTAAGTTTCTAATTACTCGCCTGGATGCATTGAATAACGGCAGCAAGAAAAAAAAATTTAGAATCCTACGTCCTCACTCATCAATATTTTAAATGCTATTATCTCGTAGGCAAAAGGTACAAAAATACATAGGTACGGAGATGAACTGGATATTAAACTTTTTTTAATTAGACATATGTTAAAATTAACTAAGTAATTGATGTGAAAAATGTTATTTTAAAATTATGAAACAAAATAATATAAACATCTTTCTTTATCACAATTCCTATTTGATTATTTTTCTTCATGAGAATTCTTTATATTAATTCCCTGGAGATGCTTGATATATATTTAAGCTAAACAGCTTCAATACTTTGTTAGCATAAATAAAATTTACATATACCAACCAAGACTGGGATTAATTTCTATATAAATATACATGCTTTTGACCTTAATTTTCTGTATGATCGTTAGGGAATAACCAAGAAAGAATGAAAGCAAGGTAAAGGGTGAGTACTAGAGACAAAGTATGATGTATGTATGAAACAAAACATGACAATGTGAAATTCAAAACCAGAAAATAATAAATAAAAAAATCATATTTTACACATAAGCAACTTTTTGCAACTTGTTACCATCCATCACATTTTTCTTATTTTCATTGCAGGGGTCCTACCCTACACATTCTTTTTCCTATTTTAATTTATTTTTTCTTGTTGCGCGGTGGTTGCCGAAGCCAAACATGAAAGAGAAAGGGATAAAAGTAAGATAAAGAGAGAGAGGTGCAGTCTCTAGAGAAATGGAAGATAGGTTAATTTTGGCCATGGTCCATGGTTGTTTCAGAGGTGCTTTTCCATGGAGATTTTAAGGTCAGAGGTCGTAGTTGTGGATGTGGGCGTGCGCCCTTACTCTTCACAACTGTGGGGCCCCTAAGTGATACCCGCATACACGTGGCCCCCACACACTCAACAGTAAACTCTCTCTTCTCTCCATCTTTCTTGGTAGGTGGCACTTCTCCTAGCTAGGGCATAGTAAAACTAACCCCACACTTCATTATATTATAAAACCATATACCCAATTGGTTATTGGTGTCTCGTGTCCCCTCAACCTTTAAAACAAACAAAACCATTTTCTTTTCTTCTTTTTTTTTTTTTCCTTTTTTCTTTTCCCATTATTATTTTTTTTTCTTAATTCCATGCTGTGTATCATTTGGTCCTTTCTGTCCCACAGCACATATATATAGTCTCCCTTTACATACTCATTCCAGTACACACACCACCTCATTATCTTTCTTTCTTTCCTATCCTTCCTTCTAGTGTACCCATTTTGAATGTGTTCTCTCTCTTTTCTTTGGGTCCCCGGTGAATCTAGAACCACTTCCTAGCTTCTCTTCTTGCTATCATATATCATCGATCACTCTCATAGTTAACCTCCTGAATGCCGGAAAACATGAGCATATCAGTGAATGGACAATCTCAAGTCCCACCTGGCTTCAGGTTTCACCCAACAGAAGAGGAGCTTCTTCAGTACTACTTGAGGAAGAAGGTCTCCTACGAAAAGATTGACCTCGATGTGATTCGTGACGTTGATCTCAACAAGCTCGAGCCATGGGACATACAAGGTGTGATATCCATCACTCTCTCATATATATGTGATATATGTTCATCTTATAATCCCAAATACATAAGTTGTGTGTCATAACACTGTTTTTGAAGACTTATCTGCGTGATGTATAAGTATCTCAAGATGTCAGATGATATATGTGATATGAAACCATTCAAGTGTCCTTAAGAAACTCAAGCTCTTGGAGTTGTTGTTTTCGTGATATGTTGAGTCATGACACACTCATTTCGTCAACACACTGTGTATCTAGCTAGTTATGTTTTATAGACTTTTAGTCTTTGTTGGTTTTGAGTTCCTTCTACTATCACTTTTTGTGGCTTCTTTGTTTTGCGCCTCACATGGGGGTAAATGATATGATGGAATATTCAATAGAGTCATGACGTGAATCACGGCGCCATTTTGAGTGGTATCTTTTTTTTTTCTTGTTTTGCAGAGAAATGCAAAATAGGAACAACTCCGCAGAATGATTGGTACTTCTTCAGCCACAAAGACAAGAAGTACCCCACTGGAACGCGCACCAATCGCGCCACTGCTGCAGGGTTCTGGAAGGCCACTGGCCGCGACAAAGTTATATACAGCAACGGTAAGAGAATTGGAATGAGAAAGACTCTGGTTTTCTACAAAGGAAGAGCCCCACACGGCCAGAAATCCGATTGGATCATGCATGAATACAGGCTCGATGACAACACCACCAGCGACACCAACATCGTAAGCAACTCTAACAAAAACAACTACTTTGTCAGTTAATCAGTTTTACTTTCTAGCTAACTTAATTAACACCTTAATACAACCAAGGTTTTAAAAAAATAGTTTTTCAACCCCAACGTAAAAGTTTTTGTCTATCAAGAGATTTATAACAACTGGGGAGCAATGGAGCTAGACATTTTGATATGTAAGAAGTTAACTAAGTTGACATATGAATGTGTTTTTGTGATGAAAACATAGGTGTCGAATGTGATGGGAGATGGTGGACAAGAAGAAGGGTGGGTGGTGTGCAGGATATTCAAGAAGAAGAACCATCTGAAAACCCTAGACAGCCCTCTAGGTTCTGGTGAAGGTAGAAGGAGCCACAGCCACTTGTTTGACTCGTGCGACGAGGGAGCTTTGGAGCAGATACTTCAGCAAATGGGAAGGGGTTGCAAGGAAGAGAGTAGCTACGAGGGAAACTACAACAACAACAGCAACAGCAACAGCAACAGCAACAACAGCATGAACTATGGAAGGTTGGTAAGGCCTTTCGACAATGAGAGGTTCATGAAGCTGCCAAGCCTGGAGAGCCCAAAATCCACAAGCATGGAGAGCCAGCACAATAATAATGGTGATAAGAATGATGGGTACCATCCCATAATTCCTGTGGAGATGGGCACGGACAATGAAGGGTCATTCGCAACCCACCAGCACCAGGTGAGTGGTTCTGACCCCAGCATGGTTCACGCATTGGAGGTAGGATCAGGTGGTGGAGGCCTCACCAACTGGGCTGCGCTGGACCGTTTGGTCGCGTCTCAACTCAATGGCCAGACCGAGGCCTCTAGGCAATTGGCCTGCTTCAACGACCCCACCATCGGCTATTGCACCACCGACCATGATCTTCAATTGCCAACCCTCCGATCCTCATCAACGCCTTCATCAACGTCGGCACACGCTAGGCTTCATGCTCCTCCCGCATCCTACATCAACCCCACACAGGACTTCACCAGCGAGATTGACCTTTGGAACTTCACTCGATCCACGTCCTCCTTGCTGGCTTCCTCAGAACCACTGTGCCACGTGTCCAACACGTCAGTCTAGCCCAATAAATAAATAAATCATAATAATAATAATCATCATCATCGTCATAATAATAATAATATTAATATCCCAACCCCACCACCCTCATCGTCCTCCCATGTTCCATTGTTAAATATAGAAATAATTAGTTCTTCATCATATATCATGTTTAATTAGTTCTTCTCAAGTCAGAGACTGTTAATTGTGATAATTTTCCTAGTATACATTTTTACTTCAATTAGCTTAATTCGACTCTTGTTGGTAATATTCTATTGACAATTGTCTTTTGTAAATGTTTCTTCATAAGCCAGTTTATTTAGTGAAAAAATTACTGGAATCCTCTACTGCTAAACCCACTTTAACAGGCTTAATGTATTGATAAATCGATCTTTCCATAAACATGCGAGTTTTGGCTAAATGGGTGATAGAGCATAAAATTGAAATGTGTTTAATTAAATAAGCGTAATTATGATATAATTGAAGGGAATTAATTGGAATAAGTTAGATGGATATAAAGAAGAAAAGGGTGGAAAGAGTTGAAGTTATTAGATGGGATGGCATTGTCAACCATGGGTCTTTGCTTAATCACGATGTCCACCAATATTTATCTTTTTATTTATTTATTTTTGGAGCGGGAAGGATTGAAATGAAAACTCGTGCTAGCTAGCTGAAGGGTGAGTGTGATATGTTGAGTTTTTTAATCTTGTAACTGCAATTATAAGGACCTTACTTTATTTGATGATGATGATGATGATGAGTAAGGTCATGTTTGAAATAATCATGGATCTGCCTCTTCGTCTTTGTGTCACGTGGTTTGTCGGTTTGTTAGAGGAAGGTGCAGAGGCTACGGGTGGGCTTGTCCTATTGCACCAACACTCTCTAATTACCAAAAGGAAGTGCATATGCTCCACGACATACATACATGCATGAGTACAAACATAATACTTTCACATCCATTGAGCTAGAGAGAGAGAATGCGACGGCTAATAAAGCCTCCACATAGCTTTAGCATAACCAAGTCAAAAGAGAATCTCATAATTACGTAAGCTTTGCATATTCATTTCGTCACTAATCTGGGGTAAAAAAAAGAAACTGACCAGTGTCTTTCATCAACACACTTGCGTACGTACAAGTCCACCACACTAGTTTGTATTATTATTGTTTTCAAAAACTGTACTTCAATTCCATGCACAAAATGCCCGAAACGAAAATGTACCAAAATGCTTCTTCTTCTTCGACTACATGCCACCCTACGTACAATATCTTTCCTTTTCTCTCTTTTTTATTTTATTTCTTTTTTCCTTCTTAGGGAGGGGGCTCCGTTTTCAAATTATCAAACGTAAGGTATAGGTAAGGGGCTTGTTTCGATTTTGGTCCACTCACTTTCTTTTTCTCTTTCTCTCTTTCACACTAATATATTGTTGTCGGCTCTGTTCAAAATTTTTCGTGATACACTAATTGTGGAAAACCAAAATGGAATTTATATTTATGTTCTTGGTGAATCTATTAGTATTTCTTAATTAGATTATTATGACCACCACTTGAGGCTCATATTTACGTTCTTAATTAATTAACGTATATTGTTGTCTTTCCTTGCTTTGTTTATCGGCTAGCGGAACACATGAACGTACATCCCTCTAGATGGATTATGATATGTAAACACTAAAATTAACAAACAACCATGGTTTATGTTTTCCAATCTTCATTCTTTAATTAGTAAGTTATACTCGTCTTCTGTGGGGAATATTGCGGATTGGAAGGTTCATTCACTTCATTATTGGGTGCAGGTTAGAGAGTCAAATAACTGCAAGTTCATCCTACAACAGGGGCCCCAGCTCCAAGGATATCATTTTCTTATTTATTTTTGATAAATTATCAAAATATGTTTTAAAAATTAAACCTTAGAAAATGCCGTGTTTAATATATCATTATACCATGTGATACATGGACAACACAAAAAAAAAAAAAAAAAAACAATAATACAATTACTGAATTACCCAATTCGACAACACTTAAAATGTACTGTAGTTTCATTGTTTCTGTTTGTTTCTTTTTAATTTCCTACTAATAAAAAAATTATTGTTTCACTTAATGGAAAATACGCTTAATCCAAGGCTGAGGAAAACCGCCAACCAATAAATAAAATAAGGTTTCCTTAAGATGCTAAAAGAAAATAAAAGTGAAATATTTAATCAAATAAATTCGTACTTTTATATAAATACTTTTAAAAACAAAAGTTGCATGTTTCCATTTCCTTAACATTAATCATTGATGTGAATTTTAGATTGTGTTTTACAGTTTCATTAAACATAACCCTCAACTTTCTTTCCAGTTCATCAATGTCATTGTTTCTCTGTTTTATACTTTTTAAAAAGTGCAAATGGAAATTTGAGGCCTTTAAAATGACAAACTAAACGCACTTATTCTTTAGTATATAAAGTGAAAATATTTTTAACATTTGTTATTAATTACACAGGAAGAATAATATTTGTTTCATACTAAAATGGTACAAACTTATTTTATTTTATTTTTTCCTATTCCATTATCCATTTCATAAAATAGGAGTCAGTAAAACCAAGAGAAATTGAAGCACATGTTGCTATAAATGTGGTGGGGTTTCAAAACATCGTAATACTTTTGTAAATGGCAAGTATTATTCCTCCATGGGTTCTGCTCAAGGAACCCCAATATTTTTCATGAAGTTGTAGCTTATGCTAATTATATGCTTTGTAATTGTTGGAGCGAGTAAAGAGAAAAGTAGCAGGGTACTTAAGTGTTACATTGCATGTTTGGATAAGCTTAGATAAAATTTTATATAAACTAACAAGAGTGAGTGTCTACATAATAAATTGTGTATAATCCAATTTTAGCTTATAAAAAAATTATTTTATTTTCTTTTGTATTTTGTTCTTCTAAAAGTGTATTTTAAGAAGTTTATCTAAATATGTCTATAATATTTATTATTATTATTATTATTATTAATAATATTATATTTAGAGAAGTCACTTAACGACGAAGAGGAAGTGGGTTTGATGGATCTTGAATAAATTCCGGAATTTAAGGCCATGCCACCAACCACACTACATAGGGTCATTACGTTCGCTTATTCGTCGAATTATTTGATAACGACCCAATCATCATCTCATATATCCCTAATCTCTGTCCCCCTACACTCCACAAGTCCTTAACTTCTGATCGTTGCTTTTCTCCAGTTTTCAACAGTGTTTTTTTTTTCATTTGTTATAAAAGAAAAAGGGTTAGAGTATTTTTAGTAAGGAAAATTATAAAATAAAAAAATAAAAAAATAAAAAAAAGTTGCTCTAATTCTTTTCAAATAAATTATTTTTATTTATTTATAAAAATATGTTACATGTGGTCCTTAATTTCATAAACGAAAAATAAAAATAAAAGGACAAAGAAACATTTTGTTTGGTAAAAGACAATCACATCTGATACATTTTTATAATTGAGAGGCAAAAATTTGAGAATTTAATTTTTAGAAACTAAAGTTGAAAATATATTTAGCTCTATTAAAATGCACAATGAGATAATAATATAGTTTAACCGATATCTTGCATTTTAAGTTTTCATCGACATATATATTTTACGGAAATTCGTATACACCTCTACTAGAGTTCTAAAATATAATAGAAATTTAAATATCTTTCTTACAATTAACGGCCAAATTACCATTATAACCTTGTTATAAAAGCTTACTGAGATGATTAATTTCCTCCTTATCTTAGCATTTGAATGATTACAAGTATATTTCTTCCAAATATATCACTTTAAAAATACAAGTTAGATAGAGATTGTGTAACTGAGCTTAAATCTACATAATAAATTCCACATAAATAGTCTATCAATTTTTCATGGGATATATAATTATATATATATATTATCATATACGTTAAGTTTTTTTACTTTATTAATTATAATTACCTTAATTAAAAATTATATTTAAATATTTTTTATTAATTACGAATTTAAGTTTTTTTACAATGAAAGTCCAACTGTCCAAGAAAATTAAACTCATATTATATGTTATTCAGTAATTTTAATATGCACGTTTCTAAACAGATACTTCTTTAACTCATTCACAAAGAAATTACTGAGCAAGAAATCTTACGCAAGGTGACATCTAAGATTGGATTTCTCTTAAAAAAATATATATTTGAAATTATTAGTACTCTACATTCAAAATAATTTTAACTTTAGATTTTAACTTTTTGAATATTCTTACCTCAATTGTATAGTAGGTCCGTATTATATTTAATGTGTTATATTTTAGTCCTCTGATAATTTTTTATTTTAATCTCCACAATTTTGGTGACATATATGAGACAGTCCTGGATTTGATTTATATTTATGAAGCATAGTGAAGATTATATAAGTATGGAAAAATACGAAGGATGTGGAATGATGAGAACTATTTACATATTGTTTTGTTGCAATATTACTGTATAAGTCGATCTATATATAAATCTAAACCCTTTTTCATTATTTTCTCTCCAACTGCTAAAGGAAAAAAGGAGAAAACATGCTTCTCCTGTTGCGTGTTTTCTGGTTCCCCCTTTATCTATTCTAAATTCTGTGTGACTCATTATTGCAAATCGGGTGGCCTGATTGAAACTTTAACACTCCTTTATCAACCTCTTTGAAACAATATACTTAGTCAACTCTGTTAATAATTGATAATTTCAAAATAATCACTCAATTCTTTTCCAGAAAAAAAAAAAAAAAAAATACTCAGTCACATTTACGTATTTCACTTCTCTTCAATCAAATTGAAGTATGACAAAGCCATCAGTTTTGAAGTGAGATAAACATGAATAAAATAAAGTTACTGACAAAATAAAATGTACTGATCTATTAATAAAATATGAAATTTAAATAAATAAATTCAAATACTATGTCGAGACAGTACTATACACTAAAAATATATGGGTACAAATTCGTGGTTATTCTGGTTCCGCAACACGTACGTAATCAGATAATTTTTTATGCGTGAAAATGTGTAATGAATATATTTTTTCAAAACATAAAATAAAATAATTGTTAATTATGAATATAAACTAAGTTATAAAATAAATCATACGTTAAACATATGATTTTACTATTGGTTTATATATATATATATATATATAATATATATATATATATAATTGTTGATATTTTAGGTGGAGAGGATCCAACTGCAAGTGGTATATAGAATGACATCCGTTAATTTGGGAAATGCTCTGATAGTGTGACATCGGGGCAAGAGGATCTCTAGGATAGAATATTTGGTATTGTAATAAATGTTATTTTCTTTGAAAAATGTGTAAACTCTTGAATTTTATCTTTCAAGTTTTATTTTTCAGTCAGAACAGTTATGAAGTATTATGTGAACCCTTTTACCAACTTAAAAAGTTTATTTTCCTTAATTTTTTTTGCCCTTAGCTGTCAATCCTTCACCATTTACTGTGGGTTTTTTCTCCTTCCTTTCATTCAACTCGTTTGAGTTAATGGCAGCTTGCACCTCATCAATTGATACCGAGTCTCTTCCAAATAACATGGTTTCTTTGAAGTGGGAATAGGCCCTAGGTAAGGAACACAACAATAACAAAGCTTGATCCTCATCGTCTATGGTGACATCAATATTCTCAAGATCCAAAATCAACTTATTAAACTGGTTTAATTGTTCACCCACTGGTTTATCCTCATTCATCTTAAAAGAATACAAAGATTGCTTCAAGTAAAGTCTATTTACTAAAGATTTGGTCATATACAAACTTTCGAGTTTAGACCAAATCCCTGCAGCAGTCTTTTCCTTAGAGACTTGCCTAAGGACTTTATCACCAAGACTCAGGATAATAGCACTGTGGGCCTTTTCTTGCATTTTCTTCCTTTCCTCATCAACCGTAGCATTTTCGGCCTTGGCTTCACCAGCAAGAGCATCAACCAACCCTTGATGAACAAGGAGGGCTCTCATCTTTAATCGCCATAGACTAAAGTCGTTTTGACCAGTGAATTTTTCCACCTCATATTTGGCTGAACCCATAGCTTGACGATCCACGCTCACCGCACCACTTGTTACGCCAAGAATGAGATGATAAACACACACACGGGATTCACTCTCTGTTATATTCCTTTAAACAAGAAACAAGCAAGAAAATTAAGAGAACAAAGATAAGGAGAGAACACACAACACTTTTACGTGGTTCGACTTAGAGCAATGCACTCAACAGTCTACATCCACGGGGCAGCCATTGAGATTAAGTTTCTCTTAAGAAATTGATTACAAGTTTGTTCTCTCTGTCAGCGTTAGAAAACAGAGGCTGCACCTATGCCTTATATACTTATGAATAGAAGAACTATTCTACACATCAAATATCTAATATGGTTGAGAACCAATAGCCAACATAATTAGTGCATTAACTCAAATTGATTAATGAATTCCCAGGGTGGAGGGTAAATTAATCCCACCTAATTTCTCGTGTACACAGCATACTTTCAAGTGTATGAAGTGAAACTTATTTTGTCATTTGCCCTTCTAGTGGAAATGATCAGTTACTGCCTAGTCAACAGGAAGGAGAAAGACTACTTAAGTTACTGCCTAAATGTGAGCTTCGTAAATTTGATGACAGCGGCCATTTCCTATTCCTGGTATATATTTCCCCATTTCTACTTTTTCTGCATGCTTGCTTTTATTTATTAGGCATGCATCATGATCCTTTTCACCTGATAGAAGAAAAAATATCAAATATCAGTTAGAAGTTCAAACAAACACTGATATGGTGCCCGTGCCTCTGTCCATTGATGGTAGGAAGGCAGCATTGATTTGGTAACGATCATCAAGGGCACTTCATACTACCGTCGTGGCAAGTATCATGACTATGCATCAGATTTTTTACCGCCAACACCTGATGAAGCCAGAAAAATAATAGAATCATACAGGTAAAAACAACAGGATTAATTTGATCACATAAGCATCAGTTACAAACATTAGATTTCATAGTATATATTTTATAAAGGTAGTAGCTATTGCAAGGAGAGCTCAGCCTACTGGTTAGTGGTTACCATAAAGATTTGCTTATTCGATGTCTCAATAACTATATATCTGGCAATTTATCTCCAATTTTTCAATTAATTGATTGTTGTTAATCAAACTTATTATAACATTGAAACCTTTCAATTGTAATGCTTCCAGTTTGCTTAATCTTGTTACAAGTCCTGTAACGCTCTCGACATTGGAGGATGGGACGATTGTAAAAGGCCTTGCTGGAATTCCTTCAGATGGGCCTGTATTGTTTGTTGGGTACCACATGCTGATGGGATTAGAAAAAATTCACCTGTGCAGTCAAATATTTTTGGAAAGAAATATCCTTGTTAGAGCAATAGCACATCCCATGTTTTTTATGAGATCTAAAAATGGGAAATTTCCAGATATATCTTATTTTGACAGATACAGAAGTATGGGTGCTGTCCCTGTAACACCAATAAACCTCTTCAAGCTTTTCTCTTCCAAGTCTCATGTCTTATTATATCCTGGAGGGATACGCGAAGCTTTTCATAAGAAGGTAAATCCCAATAAGTAAACTTTTTCTACTACAAGTGAGTTTCCTCTTTTACATTGAACCATGAATTTACTCATTTGACTACTTCTAAGGTCTATAACTTGTGTATATCATCTTGGACATAAATGCAATAAATTGGGCTGTAAATTAATTTTCACTCGAGAAAAGAAAAAAGAGAAAAAGGAAATTGGATCAAATGTCATAGGTTGTAAATATGCTGGAGAACGAAATCATTACTTTCCCTGTACAACAACAACCAATCCATGTTTATAGATAATTGACCTTTAGATTATTCTTAATGGTTTCACACTGATTACTTCTTTCAGTTTTCCATTGCCTCTAGCTTTTATACTACACTCATCTTGATTTACACTCGCATAGTGGGGATTTTATATGACCTCTCCGCATGTGTACAGATCACCCAAAATAAGTTTCTACTTTCTACCATTAATTTATGATAGTTGGTCCTCAACTTTCTCTCCAATTTCATAAGCTTATCTTTTCTACTATGTTCACACATCTTATGCAATATTCCAGTCTTTTTACAGAGTTTATTCTTTTGTTAGCATTTCACCGTCCAACATTTTGTTCCATACTTGTAGCTGTTAGAGTTTAGACTAAAGAAAAGAGAACAAATTGAATTTTAATTAAATATAGAAACAATATGTTTTTTAGGCCAAAATTGAGTATAAACAAAGGGTTTCAGTGTTTCCCCCCAATACACACAAGATTTATCCCTAACAAAGAGTACTCCTTCAAAACACGGGGAATGACAATCCATCACCTTACTTCCTTTCATAAAACTACTACTGCCTAAATCAGATTTTGGCATATCAATAGCTGTGTGGTAAGTTTTCCTTTGAGCTTGAGCAGTACCTTTCTCTTATAGATAACACCTAAAGCACTTCCCCATTTCAACCATCTTATTCGAATTCTACTGTTTACATCTCTCCCTATTTCTCTGTCATTTTCTATGATGTGCCCAATATACTCAAACCTGTTGCTTGTCGTATGATATGGTCTCTCCAATTACTACTTCTAAGCAACAATTTATGCATTTCCTGCGAAACTTATATTCCATAATTCCATATTCTTTCTACTAAAACAAAAGCCATGTGCTTCTAATTATTACTTTTCCAATTATCATCATAAAATTACTAGAACTGACAAACACAATATTATGTTTTACTACATAATAACTGGAGCCTTTAAACAAATTTTTATGTGTGAATTATCAATTTTGTTCTTGAAGTTATAATGTTCAATTAAACTGGTCTTTGAAATGTAACAAAAAAGAAATTGGTTTCTGAAAATACATTAAAAAAATATATATCGATCACACATGTGTTTGTCGCATACATGAATGAAAATGATCAAAACATTGATGGCATAATAATATTTTTTTTCCTTCACTTTGTCTTTGTTATTTTGTTGTCTACTAATTATGCTTTATTCTTTTCCTTCACTTTTAAATAGGAGTGTAAGTAATACACTTTTATTAGCTTACATTCATTGGAATTCAACTACAAAATCATTAAAGGTTCATTAAATTAATAAGGTGGGGATCAACTAAAATTAATTTCAATCATTAAAAAAATAGTTTAAAACTGTATATCATAAAGTTTAAAGATAACATTTCTTTTTAAAATAAGGTAAGATGAAGCCCAAATTTTTTTGGCTACATTGTAAATCATATTTACATCGAGGATATATGAAAGTAATTAAAAGTAAGACGTCACTAAGATAAACAAATTAAACCGTGTAAGGTTAATTCCACAAGTGGAAAAACTCGAATTGAGAAGAGTAGATGGAGAATCTATTAGTAAATCATAGAATTGGAAGATGCCACAAAAGATTGTATATGGTAATCATGATAATCTTAGCAACTTTTAAAATTTTTCTTGATAAACATGCCGACTTACTTAGGGTAACCTTGAAACCACATTTAATATTGGAATTGATTAATTAGTGCACAAAGTTAAAAACTTTATGTGGTTTGTGACCACAGACATTAAGACAGATATTCAACTATTTTACCTATTCAGCTTTTATCATCAATTATGCTACCAAACACAAAGTCTTGGTGATGTGAAAACGCCATCAATTTATGAGATAAGAAAGTAATAACAAAGAGAAGCAGAAAACAAGTCGTGCGGTAAGAGAAAAAGGTACAAGTTTTACACACATGATTAGTTAGAAAGAATGGAGGAGGAGAACAAATAGAAACACAAGAAAGTGCTTAGAAAATGGAATGGCATAGTAAGTGAAAGGGAAAACTTAACGGCATGGTATTAGTATATCTAGCTAGTGCGAAGTGCAAGCTAAAGGGAGATAATATTTTGCAAGAAAATGAGGTTACTTTTCTTTTCATTTTGCATCATTGTTATCTGGACTCAACATTTACTTAATGATGCTCTTGAATTTCTGTGTACTTACATGAATTCCATTCGCAATTAGGTCTCACACGTATCAATATTTGAGATCGTACACAAGATTTTCTTTTCCCGTCTACTCATTTATTGACATGTATGAATATTAACATTACCATAATTATGACAATCCAATGCCATTTTAAACGTGGCATCTTTTCACATCCATAAAAAGGAAAAAAAAAATTGAATTAGCATCGATTGTTATTATTTTTTGGGTGAGATTTGGTATCAATTCATGATGCCAATTCGTTGTCAACTGATTGAATTGGCATCAATTAATTTTGTCTCTACTGAATATATATGCCGCTCCTAACTATTAATAGTAAACAAATCTAATTGGATAATTGAAAATCTATCGAAGTTAAAATTGATAAGTGTATCCTTAATTAAACATCACCTTATTACAATGTTAATTTTATTTTTATTTCAGTAGTCCCAAAATTTTGTTGTCTTTTAGCTACTACTTATAAAATTATTTTAGTTTGTTGTAATTTTTTTTTAAGTTCTTACCTTTAACAAAAAAGTTTTTTTGGTTAATGATAACGTGACAAACATAAAGTTGGTTGTCGTCTATGTAAGCATATATTTCAGCGATTAAAATAACAAAAATAATTTTATAGAGAATAAAAATTAGAACACCAAATTAAAAGACTAAAATGAACAAAATAATTTTATGGAAACTAAAAAACAATATACTAAATTTTAGGGTGTAAGAAGATAAGTAAGCCCAACTAAACAAAAAGAAAAAAAAAATAAAAACCTTCATCTATCCATCACTAGTATTACAAACTCCTTGTTTTTTCCTTGGCTTTTGTCATTAAACAATAATTAATAACATACACATACCCATTATGTTCTCCAATGCAAAACACAGATGACACACCACCACCAAGTATAATCGTAATTGCCGCCACATTATTAGGTAGACAAGGAGAAGAAAGAAAAGGTTGCAACCTTAACTCCCTCAGCCTCTACAAGTTTTAAGAAGACAACAACTAATTGGTTGTCGGTTTGGAGTAGAAAGATGATGATAATAACAATAACATCAAAGGAAATGCAAACTTTGACCTTCATTATTTTCCAAAGAGATACTTGAATATGGTGGAAAAGAAATTAGCAAAGTGCGACACAAGTAAAGACAATACCAAATGAAAAAATATATATTATGAAATAAGATTTGTGTTCGGTACAAACGGTCAATATTAGTTAATTATATATTATTTTTTTATTTTAGTTTACTTTATATATATTTTTAGTTCCTACAAGTTGATATTTTACTTTTTTCAATTCTCATAAAATTATCTTTGATTATTTTAGTCTCTACAATTTAATATTTAATCTTTTTGATTTTCATAATTTTTTTCCTTTTAGTCCTTAAAATATAAACGTACATGGACGACAGATATTGCACATTGATATGAAATTTTGTTTCTCACATACTCATTTAATGGGAATTCTTTAACAAGAAATATTTTTAAAAAAGTAATAATATAAAAATTAAAATGACTAAAATAATTTTGCAGAGACTAAACAAATAAAATACTTGAATGATAGGACTAAAACTATATTTAAACCTCAATTAATAGGGACTATAATTATAAATTTTTCATCAATCATTTAATATAAATCTTTTCCATTTTTAATTTTAAATAAGAGTATTTATGAGATTTATTTTTATTAAAATATAAATATTTTTAATATTGAATATTTAATTTTCTTATTTTATTTAACATATATTAACAGTTTAGATTTAGTATAAATATTTTGACTGTGTTAACAAACTCTATACAATGAAAATTCTAATATATATTTTTAAGAGGAACCAAAATTATATATATATATATATATATACTTAATATTGCTAAATAAAAAATTATATATATAATTATTAATGTGAGACCCTCTCTTATTTCTCTTTTCTTCCCTCATTTTCACTCTTTCACTCACTTACTCTCATTTCCTTTTCTCTCTTTCCTTGTGGCTGATTTCTTCTCCTTTGTGCTGGGTGTGGTGAACTTAGTTGCTGAGTAGGTGTTGAGAAGCTTGCAGACGCACGGATTCCTTCTTCCTTCTCCGTTCACCATCTCTTTCAAGTTTCTTCTTCTCCATTGTCTTTTTCCCGGAAGCTCAAATTTTCACACCGAGGTAAGGGAAGCTAGTTTTTCACTGTTTTTGGATGTATATGAGTTCAAGAAACTCATTAGTTGTTGAAGTTGGATGTTTGGCTGAGTTTTGGTGAAGATGGGTCTTGTTGGGGTTTTGGGGTTTTTGATGAAAATTTGAGACTTTCACTTGTTTTATGGTTGCATGTGTAAAAAGGTGGTGTTTTTGAGCTGTTGATTGAAAATGTGGCATCTTGAATGGATTGCATGTGTTGGAAATGTGGATTTTTGCAGGTTTTTGGGCAAATTTTCGAACTTGGTGAGTTGCCGCTGGGTACCACGCCGGGCGCCGTTCTTCGCGTCGGGCGAGTGAACATCGGAGGGCTCCATTTGGGCAAGCCCGCCAGGCGCAAAGGTGTGTGCGCCGAGCGAGCTTGAGGATGTAAGCCTCTAGATGGCCCACGCCGAGCGTGACTTGAACCGCGCT